GCTGACGAGTAGAGCTGACTTGGGGCATGGTGCCTGAAAATAGAAACTGCAACGTGATTTTATTTCTAACTCCATAGACGATGTCTCTGTGAGTCATTCATCTCCCTGGGTCTCGCTTTCCATGTCTGCAAAGCAGGCTGCGTTAACCCTGACTGCTGCTTTCCCGGTATGCTGTGATGACTAGGAATCCAAGTCCCCGCCAATGTTCTTCATAAACGGAGGCCCTGGTGTCTTCCCTACCCACTGCAAGATAAGCCAGATGCAACCTGGCCAAAGAACCCTCCCTCCGAGAGGCGCTGTCCTCCCGTCCCCACCTCCCTCCCTCCACGGAGCTCTGAAAGCACACCTTGTGCTAACGGTTTGGAGTGGGTAGTAGCAGCTAGCAGAGAAATAAGAAACTCCAGGCAGGCAGAGGCACTGGAGCCAATCCCACAGCCCGCACAGACAGGGTTTCCAGGGCTGATCTGGGGGAGGCAGTGCTCTAATATTATTCTACCAGGGTTTAACAGGACTAGATTGTTTCTCTGGAGAAAGTCAAGAAATTGTTCAGATCAAACAGAGACACAGGGGTAGGATGGGAGGAGCCTGAGGTGAGGGTGAGAAAGGGGGACTTAGAGAGATGAATCTGTGGGGACAGTGACTGCTGTGCAAGCATGGGGACCCAAGTCTGGATCCCTAGAACCCACATAAAAAGGCCAGGCACAGTGGTGTGGCCTAAAATCCAAGGACCGGAGACAGAACAGTCGGAACAGCAAGCTCCAGGTTCGGTGAGAGACCCTGACTCAAAACCAATAAGGTGTAGGGGGTAGGCAGGTCAGCAGTTAAGAGCACTTGTTCCTCTTGCAGAAGACCTAGGTTCAGTTCCCAGCACCCACATGGTAGCTTTTAACCATCTATAACTCCAATTTCTTGGGATCTGATGTCCTCTTCTGACATTTACAGGCACCAAGTACATATGTGGTGTACATAAATACATGCAAGCAAAACAGTCATACATGTAAAATTAAAAAAAAATTAAAAAGTATAGAAAGATAAAGGAAGCCATCCAATGACCTCTGACCTCCATATATACAGGGCATGTATGATGACAGACTCATTCCTTCCCCAGCTCCATCCTCAGGGACACACAGGTGTTTCTTATCAAGCTGATCACAGCTAAATTGGTTTGGGGATATTTTAAAAGATGTCTTCAAGGTAGCCAGAGACTGTACTCTATGATGGGTATGTAGAGGGCTGGAAAGTACTCTGCTCATCTCAACCTCTGAATACCTGTCCATTCACGCCTGTACTTTCCCTGGCTCTGGTATGTCTCACAGGACTAGGGAATGTGGGAATGGCCTAGGCTAAGCATTTTGACATCAGCTGAGTTCCATTGGGCTGACCTCTCTTTGCCTTAGACCCTCACATCCAGCTCTAGAGGGGCCCCAGAGGGTACCTGGCACTTTGTCCTAGCTCAGACTCCACCCAGTGTGACCTCAATCCTGGCTGAGGATCAGCAGTCTTCTGCAGACCTCCTGGTGGTCCTGGGCTGGATGACTGTGGGCCCTAGCTTCCCTTAGCTCCCCAGCCTTCCTGGAAGCTTCTTGCTCAACATCCCGTGTGGTAATCACAACTGTTGGCTTCACTTGGTCCTTTTGGTCCTGCCAAGTTCCCCCTGATAGTGCTACTTGGAGAGCAATCATGGTAAAAGAAAAAGACTGGTTCATGTTTTCTCTCACACTGGAGTCCCCTCTCCAGGTGGCCTTTCTGTCAGTGGGATGGCTAGGAGGAGCCTCTGAAGAAGGAACAGGGCTGTGACGCTCCAAGAGTGAAGATGGGCAAGCTTATCCAGGCCGTGGCCAAGGGTATCTGCCTCCATTAGCCCAAAGCTGCTTGAGTTGTGCTGAGATAAAGGGACCCAGAGGGTAGAAAGAGCTTCATCTTCAGTGTCAGGAGTCATGGGGGGCGTGTAGGGATAGAGTTGAAATGGGCATGAGGCTGGGAACAGGGAACCAAAATGGGTGGGTGTGGGATGGAGCCAAGGGCTGAGAGGTCCTTTACATGCCTGCTACTCTCTACACAAAGCACTGTTTTATTTCCTGTCTCACTTAAAGCCACACAAAAACCATCATCTGACAGTTAAATTGTACAGCAGAACACACAGAGAGAGTCCCAAGACCCTGTAAGTTAGGGGGAGTCAGCGATCTGGAGCTGACTGGTGGAGGTGTGGTCGCAGCAGCGTTTAACTCTTCAGATGGAGGACCATGAGGCCTGGGGAAGGCAGGGAACCTGTTCCAGGTTCCAGACAAGTCAGAGAGAGACACTGCTCACCCTCTGAATGTTCTTAACGACAAACCCACTATCTCCACCCTTCGCGTCTTTAGGGGCACATGCGCGTCTCCGCGCAGCATGGCAGCTCTGCCACTGACAGCATGACCCAGGTGGGAGACCGGTGACGCAAGGCAGACAAACGCTCAAGTGTAGCTGCAGGACGCCCAGAAGCAGTCGGAGGCCCCGCCTCCTCCGCCGCGCCCGCGAGATAGGGGGTGTGCCCAGGTCCGAGGCCCCGCCTCCTCCGCGCGCGCTTCGCCCTAGGCCCCATTGCGCGCGCTCCTGGCTCCCGGGTGAGCGCCGCGCGGGGCCGCGGTGGCCTGAGGCCTTCCCGCTGGGTCCTGTCGCTGCGCAGCCTGAAATTCTGCCGCATCCCGGGCTGGACTTGGCCTCGCGCCCGAGCGCTCTCGGCGCGCCCAGGCGCGGTCCCGTGTGAAGCGCGCACCTGCTGAAGAC